AGATGCAGCTGATGGACTATATGCAACTAGCAGAGATGACCGGCAGAATTCGAGACCTGGGAGAAGAGAGAGTTGAAGAAGACTGGAAGAAATTTAAGACTTATTTGCAAAAATATTGTAATTTGGCTGAGTGTTGATAGGGATGCCAGAACAGAAATAATTGTCTACCACTAAACTAGAGTTAAGCTTAACTAGATTTTAATGATTGAATTTAAAGACTATGAACAAAATGATAATTTGTTTGGAAATAATTAGACTGAATCTAAAGACTATGATCAAAATGATAATTTGCTCGGAAATAATTTCATAAAGATGCAAGTGTGTGGGGGAGGTGTGAGGGAGTCCAAAGTAATGATGAAAAGATGCTAAATATTCAATGTTGTTTTATTAAATATGCTTTTGTATTGAAAAACCTTAATAAATATATATTTAGAAAAGAAAAGAAAAAGAAACTTCCATAAGCAAACCACAGATGTTCGCTGAGCTTTTGATACAAGAGACGTCAAACACAATAGCTTTACAGCTTCTGCTGTTCTACTCCCTCTCTGTAGTTGGCCACACCTCTTCACTCCTTAACTGCAGGGCTAAAAGCAACAAGGAACCTTACTCTCAAGTGCCCCTTTTCTTTGTCTGCTCATATTGAACTTGGGTAACTGGGTTAATTCTTATAATAAGCAGGAGACATTTTCCCCATACTGGATTTTCCAGCAGTGACCTGGGGAGGCTCCCAGTTGAATGTCCCTGATCAGGTGTAAAAATTACTCTCATTAGTATAAGGCAGCTTCCCATGTTCCTATGTCACACCATTAGTCCATCTAACCCAGTGCTGTCTACACACTGACCATCAATGGCTCTTCGGGTTTACAGAAAGGGTCTTTCCCAGCACTACCTGGAGTGGCTGGGAATTCAACCTGGAACCTGCTTGTGAAGCAGATGATCACATTTAGGGTTTACTTTACTTTAGGCTTTCTTTTTAATGTGATAATCAAATTGATTATTAGTATCTAGTAAGTATGGAATTTCTAAAGAAACCATGACTCACTAAATATATAGTGGTACCTCGGGTTACATACATTTCAGGTTACATACGCTTCAGGTTACATACTCCGCTAACCCAGAAATAGTACCTCGGGTTAAGAACTTTGCTTCAGGATGAGAACAGAAATCGTGCTCCGGCGGCATGGCAGCAGCAGGAGGCCCCGCTAGCTAAAGTGGTGCTTCAGGTTAAGAACAGACCTCCGGAATGAATTAAGTACTTAACCCGAGGTACCACTGTATTTTCTTATTGCATACATTCTGAAGTGTTTTTATTCCATTTTAAGTGTGGAAATGTGGTACTGTTAAAAAAGAAAAAAATAAAGATGGTCATATTTGAAGCACAATTATAGCCATGTTTGTTCAGAACTTAACCTTACATTAGCCATGGATATCCGGATTACAATCTTAGAGAAAGAAATCTACCGCTCACTATGGCTTTGAGAATTTAAAAGGGCTGCCATATCTAATTAACATTTATGTCAGATATGAAGAGTACACAAAGGGCTTTTACATTTAGCAGTTTGGACTTCAGAAAGATAGAGACCTAAAGTTGTCCAATAACTCATACAGTCAGTCAAAACAATTTAATGTCTTACTCTGACATGCTGCTAGCCACTTGACAAGAGTCTCAGGCCAGGGGCAGACTTAAAGCAAGATGAACTGCTCATACACACTTAGTCTCTCATTGCCATGGGTCTAATTAAACAACTGTGGCTACAATTAGCAGGTTAAGCACTTTTAAGTCCCATTGATTTCAGTGTAACAGATTTGTGCTCATGTTTACTGAAATCAAAACAACTTAAAAGTGTTTTTCTAGGGTTAGGCTGTGCTTCTTCTTCTTCTTCTTCTTTTTTTAAAATGAAATCCATTTAGAAGCAGTAACATGAACAGTCTCACCAAGTATGGCTAACACTGTGTGTGGATATTGGCACCTGAAGGCTAGGACAAATTAGAAAGGACTGAGATGTGTGCACTATAAAAATGATGTGCAATATGAAACACAAACCAAATAAAATGGAAAGGTCAAATAATCTGGGTACATTTAGATTTCAGTTGAAGACAGATTTTGGTTGATAACTAGGAGAAACTGCTTAATGGTTAAAAAAAATATCTTATGGGATCTTAAAGATGAAAAAATCTACTGCAGCACACATTTTCATGGGCTCTAATTCACTTTATGAAAGTGAAATGACACAATAAGTCATTCAAAGGTTGACTAGAGGTTTAGGTGCTCCTTGGTTGCCTTGATGCAACCTTTCTCAACCTTGGGTTCCTAGATATTGTTGGACTACAACTCCCATTATCCCTAACTGCTTGGCCCTTCTCACTAGGGACTATTGATAAGAGGGCTCTGGTGTATTGGGGTTGACCCTTCCTGGTATAGAACTCGTTCCTTTTCTACTGTGGATGTTCCCACAGCAGTGCTGTCTAGGGTTGATGTGGATGACCTCAAGGCATTGAGGTGATAGAGGTCTTAGGCTTATATTAGTGGAGGGGAAGCCTGATTCTTTATTTGGTTGGTTGTTTTTTGCTCTGTTTTTAGAGCTGCATAGAGGATGTGTGGATGCTTGGAGGTGTTAGTTTGTTGATACAGTCAGAGGACATCAAGATCAAGACATTGCATCCAGTTGAGGTTCTCCCAGTATGCTACTAATCCATATTTCTGAAGGGGAACTCCATTGGTGCAGTCGATCACTGTGGTAAGCTTGCTGTCTGTGCTGATCAGCTGACTGGCACATAAAGCAAGACTGCTTTGGGCAGGGATCGGCTATACAATGGAGTTTCTGACCAGGAACTCTGTAGTGCAGCAAATGCCAGTGGGGCTTGCTGTCACAGCCTATCAAACGAGCTGTGCTGACAGAAAGGCTCCCTTGCCAAAGAACAATCAAGAGCAATTTAAGGCTCTTGATTGTTCCTTGGCAGTCACATTTCTACCACTTACCATACTTTAGATCACGTTTGAAACCAGATGTGCTATAGTTGGGCATGGAAAATGGCCTCATGCGACACAGTAGGACCCATGCTGCAGGCTGAGGTGTCCTCATTAGTCCTGCAGGCTGAGGTAAATGATGTAAGGTAAAGGTAAAGGGAACCCTGACAGTTAAGTCCAGTCGCAGACAACTCTGGGGTTGCGGCGCTCATCTCGCTTTACGGGCCGAGGAAGCCGGCGTTTGTCTACAGACAGCTTCCGGGTCATGTGGCCAGCATGATTAATCTGCTTCTGGCAAACCAGAGCAGCACACGGAAACGCCATTTACCTTCCCGCCAGAGCGGTACCTATTTATCTACTTGCACTTTGATGTGCTTTTGAACTGCTAGGTTGGCAGGAGCAGGGACCAAGCAATGGGAGCTAACCCCATCGCGGGGATTCGAACCGGCGACCTTCTGATCGGCAAGCCCTAGGCTCAGTGGTTTAGACCACAGCAATGCAGCATCTAAGCAAGGAGCACTACTGATGGTCTTCATTCGCATGCATCTGGAATGCCAGCTGCATGATGTTCCATATGATCCTTGACTTCTCCAGTTGGCAGGCTGCATTTATAGCATGCTGCTCTTCAAGGGTTATATTTTTGTTTGAGAGTGCCCCTGTGAAACTGGCTAAAGCAGAAACAGCAGAAATAAAAATAATAACCCTTACAATCCTCTGTACCCTTTTGGTTACTTTGGAACGGGTCTTGTGGTGTCTGAAAAGGATCTAACTCGAAAAGTGGTGAGTATTAGCTGAAACACATTTGATTTGAGGTTCCCCACCCCCCAACCCAGTTATCCTAGAGAGCTTTATTCTGGTCGGTCAGAATACAGAACTGAGCTCCTCTGCCAATGCTTTTCTAAATTAGAAAGCACTGTAGAATGAAAAATGAAGGGGTGTTCCATTTTAGGCTGCTCAGCAAAGATGATAGAAGTGAAGCTATTAGTAGTTAAGCAACAATTGAAAGCCATGATTCAAAGCCAGAAGAATGCCATCTCGTGCACACAGTTTTTCCTTCACTGTCATCATATGAGCCTCCACCCTGCCAAAACTCTTTAGCAAACAACAACAAAATGCAAAGAACTTTGCACAGAGCTAACTTCCTCAGACGCTTCATGGTTTATGATGCTGAAGAGCCTTTTGTGGTTCCCTCTTTATCTGCCAAAGTGGGCTGGACTCTGTCTTGTGCTCCTACAGTAGTTTTCTTTTTTAAGGATTGTGCTGGAAAAGCTAATCTGGCAAAGTATTGAGATGCAAGAGACTTGTCTAAGATATTTCATGCTGATAATTAAATCTTCTGTTCTCAAATAGACATATTGCATTACTTTATCCCCGCCCTGAGGGCAATTAAAAGTATCAGGACTAAGAAGCTTTACTGATACAAGCTTACTATTATTATTATTATTATTATTATTATTATTATTATTATTATTTGCTTAAAATGAGAGCTAAAATGGGGGGAAGGGAGTTCAGCATTCTTCTTTTTCTTAAGAGAGTAATGGGCATTTTCCCCACAATGGAAAAGAGCACATATGGGGGGGAAATTAATCATACAGGTTATGTAGGATGGTGCTGAAAAGTCTCACTATTGCTTTTGGAAAGAATATCCTGGTGATGAATTGATTTTAAGTTCAGTCTAAACCATGCATTGTCACACACACACACACACACACACACACACACACACACACTATGTATATTACTTTCTCCAAACCGACAATGGTAGCTTTTGCCTAAACTTTAAAATGTTAAGGAACCATAAGAACGCTAAATGATTAGTCAGCTGAGATCATAGTACTTAAAATGAATTGCCATTATCATAAAAACCCCATAACTAAATTAACATTTCAGATCATTCATTATAGAGTAATTGCTAAATAAATGTAAAAGACATTTGCATACTGGTCATTGCTTTGTAAGTTATATGCCTTTTCTTCACAGTTTTAACGTTCAGCTGAATTTCAAAAAAACAATTGCACATATGATTACTTACCAAGATAGTGGTTACAGTTAGGGAACGATTAGATAAGGAATCAGTAATGTTTGCTGGTTTTCCTTTCTGGTTCTCGGTCATGTTAAGTCCACTTGCAGGATCCCAAGTTCCAATCTATAAAACAGCATGTGCACTTATATGAGTTCTTTTCAGGCCACTAGGACAGAACAATATAAGATAAAAAAGAAACCTGCTAACACTTATAATTCACCTCTGGTCCAATATCTGCTACCATTTGTGAAAAAGCAGCTTGCTTAAAATATTATTCACTGTGCTTCAAAATGTGTCTCGCAAAGCAAAAAATGGTGTTCAGAGTACTGAGTGCTTAATTTTCCACCTAAACATCTATCCTCTAAGAAAAGTACACATCTGCAGACTGATAGCTCACTGAACGTATATTTACAATGCACCTGCTTTCCTCTGCTTTAAATGGATCCGTCCTTTTCTCTTCCAATACTATGAAATTTCCATTGTTATATAGCAAATACATGTTGCATTCTACAAGCATGGTTAACATTTTCAGAGGTCAGTGGAAACATCATGGCCATTACCCAAATTCAAGGAAGTTTTTTCAAGTAGGAACTCCAATACCTCTCTGTCATGTTACAACGATAGATTGTTCCAAGCATAGATAGATTCCTGGCTGCCATATCTGATACACACCAGGAATTAACTAGATAACAAGTTAAAAGAAATTGCTAGGTAAAGGTAAAGAGACTCCTGACCATTAGGTCCAGTCGTGACCGACTCTGGGGTTGCGCGCTCATCTCGTTCTATAGGCCGAGGGAGCCGGTGTTTGTCCGCAGACAGCTTCTGGATCATGTGGCCAGCATGACTAAGCAGCTTCTGGCGAACCACAGCAGCACACGGAAACACTGTTTACCTTCCCGCCGGAGCGGTACCTATTTATCTACTTGCACTTTGACGTGCTTTCAAACTGCTAGGTTGGCAGGAGCAGGGACTGAACAACGGGAGCTCACCCCGTCGCGGGGATTTGAACCGCTGACCTTCTGATCAGCAAGTCCTAGGCTCTGTGGTTTAACCCACAGTGTCACCCACGTCCCTAAAAGAAATTGCTAGCTTTTAGTATTTTAACTAGTGAAAAATTTCAACTGTCAATCTTTAATTTTTGAAATCTGGCTTTCTGATACAGCTCGCCTCTAGAACTCTGCACGGAGCAACAATAATTGTTTGTTGATGCTCTAGGACAGCCTTTGCTAACCTGGAGTGCTCCAGATGTTGGGAATCAAATTCCCATTACCCCTGCCCATTGGCAATGCTAGCTGGAGCTGATCAAAGTTTTTATCCAACAACATCTGGCCAGCACCAGATTGGAGAGGGGTGCTTTAGGACTTCTTGTTTGAGGGACAGAGAGCAGCATGTCTTCCTATGAAACATTGTCACTTAAGACCTACAATTCCCTGCAGAGTTTCTTAGTTCATGTTGGCATTGACAGGGCAGCCAAGCTGGCTACAGGAAAGGGAACAAGCACAAAGAGAGAAAGACACTGATCCCAGTAAGAGTGGCAGTCATATATGCTGATAAAAAATGTACAGGCCCCAGAAGATTAAGTAAGAGTAAATAAGATATCCTTAATGTAAACAGTTATAAGCCTATCAAGGGATTTATGCCATTGGAATTTTGTGATAAAAATTATTTCCAAATTCTGGACATTTTGAAAGTAGTGCTATGTTTCCTGATCTAACACAGGTTTGGCAAATCATTATTCTGAAAACTGTATGGGAATTTTAACTGTTTATAAGCAAAGCAGGGCAAGGTCTCAGTAAACAAGAGTACAGTACCTTTGTGGGTTTATGGTAAACTTGCCCATTGCAATTGAAAATGAAAATTCAGCAAGATTTATAAATTTTCACAAATCAACTTCCTTTATAACTAGTTATTCTCTTTTTAATTTGTAACTGAAAATGGAAATGTTTAACTTTTCACTTAACTTCAGCAGGGTGAACAAGTGAGCAGAGCTAGCATACTCATTCCTGCTGTTTATTATACACTGTTACAGAATGCTAGGAGAGGGCTACTGTTGGTAACAAATAAATGAAATACTAATGGTTTCAAAGTAGTATAATTAAAATATGTTTCCTTTGTGTGCTGAATTTTATTTGCTTAGGCCCATAAGGTCTGAGGATTTTTTTTAAAAAAACAGAAATCACTTATTTTAATTAACTAGTATCCATTAGTATGCTTTATTTGCCTTTTAAAAATGGTTTAAGAAGTATTTTCAGAAGAGCACATACATGTGCTTGGCAGGTGTGCTACTGAGCACATTATCTCTTGATGTTCCAGGAGAGGTGTGAGCGGAGCTCCAGGATATTATGCCATGGATCCTAATTCACCGCTATTGTTAACCAGTAAGGCAGCATAATAATGTTCCACTAAAAGCTATTTCTCCATGAATGAAACTTTAAGTGTAAGATTAACCTTGGCATCAAATCTGCTGCAGTCAATTTGCTCGGCACAAATGTTTTAATTCTAAAGCTGCTTTAAAAAAACTGAATAGGTTTGATAATATGTGCTCAACTGGAAGCTAGAAAACAAGTCCCTCTAGCCAAAACATGTGCTGCAATCAAACCCATGTGCTAGCTCAAATCTTAACAGCCTCCAACATTTCATAGATGAAAAACATTCCTGAACATAGGTGGTGAGACTAGGAAAAGACAGTGGCAGAAACAATGGCAGAGTATTGGACAAAGGTAGAGTGAATTAAATGTATATCACAAAGAAAAAGCAGGAACTAAAAGTACAATGAAGCAGATAATTCTAGATTACAACAGTATACAGCAGGTTTCCTCAGCCTTGGCCCTCCAGATGTTTTGAGACTACAGTTCCCATCATCCCTGACCACTGGTCCTGCTAGCTAGGGATCATGGGAGTTGTAGGCCAAAAACATCTGGAGGGCGAGGTTGAGGAAGCCTGGTATAGAGGTAAGCTTCATGCTACATAGCAGGGCATGTTGAACATCTATGTACTATATAAAGACCATCTTGTCTGGGGGACTTACTCCCTGCCCTGCAGGCCTCTTTCTCCTTCTCCTTACCATCTGTGAATATGTAGTACAGATCACATTCTATCATTCTTCTACACAACATGGAGAATATAAGCCAATAGCTACCACCAGGAATGAGTACTGATGTAGAAAGTGAAAGAATCACACAGTCATCCAAACAGCATATTATTGGCGAGAAGACACCAGGCAAAGGCCATCACCGTTTCTAAATGAAACATGTGCCTTTGTTTTTTAAGATCAAATCCCCATCTCTTCTTGGTTCTTTGTTCAAACACACGGCACACACACACACAAGCACAGAGTATGGCTTGTTGCTTGATTTATGGCATATGCTGCCTTAGGTGCAAAGAGCTATTACAGGGACTCGTCAGAGATTTCAGTGTGCCCAATGGATTTTTAAAAAATCTTTATGGGTGATACCCAATTTACATTACATGCCCATTGAGTTTGATGGATCTCCTCTGAGTATCACTAATCTTGAATATCACCCTAAAATTCTGAACAGAAGTTTCTCATACTTTATCACATGCTGCTTTTGTAACTCTCATCAGTTTCAAAAGAGGTTCGCCAGGTGACCAGGAGAGCTATTCTCGTTAACCACATTAAAGGTTTCCTCCGGTATGTGAAAAAAGTAACAGAATACTTTGGATCCAAGTCTATATTTTAGCGCCAGGCAGCAAACAAACCAAGCAGACCAATAATAACAACATCCTACTTTGCATTTGGGCATCAGTCATAGTGGTTGTATTAAACTAAGTTATACTCAGAGTAGACCCATTGAAATTAATGAAGCTAAGTTAGTCATATCTATTCATTTCAATGGCTCTATTCTGAGTAGAACATTACAACCCCATAGAAGTAAATGATTTTTGTGATGTTCTTTATTAAAGCTAAGTCCAATATTCTGTCACACACAATGCAGTTCAAACTTAGCTCAAATTGATTCTACCACTAAGTATAAATGGACAAGAGTAGTATTTTGAAATGATATATCAGTTATAAGTAAATAGTATCTTAAGTACCTTTTCAAGGCCTTCCTCCTTCAAGCTAATTACATCTAAGTCAAAATCTGTCCTTAAGCCATTGGTTTTGTTGAAGGTTATCCTGCCAGTGAGGCCTTCCCAGTGAGCCTATGAAAAGAGAACAATAATAATAAATTTCATATGTAAGCAGTAAGAGAGAGTGAAGGAATGAATGAATAAATTAATGTCTGCCAAAATGGAAATATTAATTATTCATTAAGTTTAAATGATTTTCCTTCTGGCCAGAGGGTTTTTTAAAGCATATTTCTTGGATTCCCAGCATTCTTTTGATAATTAAACAAACTTTTCCTTAATCTCTGCATACAATTTCTTAATTGCCTTCCTTTTCCACACACACAAAATTCATCTTGCTAGGTTGATAAAAGGCTGACATTTAATTTTTTAAAATTTTCACCTTGCTATTTTGCAAGGTGCAGCCAATATGTATCTCCCAGAGATTGCTGGACTATAACTCCCATCATCTCTAACCTTCTGGCCGGGCTAGCTATGGCTGATGGGAGTTGTAGTCCAAGAACACCTGCAGGGCACCATGTTGTCTATCCTGACACTGACAATTCCACAATGTTATTTGCTAAGAAATCAAGAGCATTTATCTTTACATTATCCAAATATGTTCTTTTTACACAATTAAAATAAAAAGACTTATTAAGTATAACATGAGAAGAAACTAATAGGTTCATAAAATGTGAATGTCACTAAAGTATAACAAATCCTTTGGTAAAGCAGAGAGCATACTATGGACATATCTGATATAGTGAAAAGGATTTCACAAAATTTGGCATGAAAGGAGTGTAGGCCAGCCTAAAAATACAGCACATAGTTCTTATATTTTAAATTGTTATGATCATTTACCCAACAGAACAGAGGATGTTGCCTAGCAAAATGATTCATTTTATTTGTTTATTATTCGGATCATTGTACCTCTTCCCCACGTTAAACATTTCAGTGCATATTGTTAGCAAAAGGTGTATTTGACTAGAATTTCAAAGCCAAAGGAGCTTCAGGTCTGAACTTTCGCAGAGGGAAGATAGGGGGAGGCAAGACAAGTCACATTTGGTTAGTGACGTACCTCTTTAATGAGATTCATGAAGCGGGTCCCAAAGCGCCATGGTTTGTGCCGATTACATTGCAACGAACTGACAGTCATCTGTGGGAACTGCTGGACAGCCACCGACACCACATGAACGGCATCATACATCAAAGCTGCATCCGTCTGCAATGAGAGCACAAACACCACTGTGAAAATAGTCCAGCTTGTCAACAGACAAGGAAAGAGGAAGACACACATTGTCCCACCTCTGTTTCGAGGCAACAACAACAACAAGGGCTTATTGAACAAAAGCTGCATACACATCATATACTGAGAGCACCTTTAAAACATGTCCCCCCTCCCCAGGGAAAAAGAACACTGGGAACGATAGTTTGTTAAGAGCGCTGGCAATTGTAGCTCTGTGAGGGGCAAATTACAACACACATACCGTTCTCTGTTACTGTATAAAAGAACAGGTGTTTTTTTAAAAAAAAATATGCTCAGGACAGAAATGAACAATGCTTTATTCAACTACTTTCATCACCCAAAGTTGACATAATCAATTTCTCCTCTAAATTACAACACAAAGTATCCATATTTATTTCAGCCTACCACTTCCCAAATAAAAGAGTGTGCATATATAAAATCCCAAGTTAGTACAGTGGTACCTTGGGTTACAGACGATTCAGCTTACAGACGTTTCGGGTTACAGACTCTGCTAACCCGGAAGTAGTACCTCGAGTTAAGAACTTTACCTCAGGATGAGAACAGAAATCGCACGGTGGTGGCACAGCGGCAGCAGGAGGCCCCATTAGCTAAAGTGTTACCTCAGGTTAAGAACTGTTTCAGGTTAAAAACGGACCTCCAGAACGAATTAAGTTCTTAACCCGAGGTACCACTGTATAGTAGAGCAACCATTTCTGCTGCACACACATTATTATAATGTAATAAGGCATGCATTTTTCGACAGCCAGTCTGGCAGTGTAATATGCCCATTGCCTCATGCTAGAAAAGCTCAAAATGGTGATCCAGTGCACCCTACACATCTGAAGCAATACGTGTACATAAACGTTAGGAGTGTGCACAACACCACAAGGAATCATCCCTGCCTACTTTCATGCATCTTCTGAAAACTGTCCTGTTTAGACAGGCCTTCACAATAATGAACTAGTATCTATGGAAGTTTTAAATTATTGCTTCTTCCTTTAGTGTTTTGTGGGCAATGGTTGGAAAACTGCAGACATGAGAGAGGTGCCACTGAACAAGAAGACAACAACAAGTGAGTAGAGGGGCTTTTGTGCTAGCCAACTTTAAAGTTGATTAGGGGAGGGAGAACTAAAGAGGTTTTATTTTAAGGATAAATTATTATTTTTTCTCCCTGATTACAAGCTTATGACTGGTCACCATTAAGTGTTCCCTCCCCTCTCTTCCCAACACTCTCCCCCCCATCAGTCCACTCTAAAGTTATGGCATTATGGAAATCTTAAAGCCATTATTTCTGCTTTCAGCAGACAGTTGTCTGCAGCATTTTAAAGAAACATGTCTAAAGATTGCCTGCTAAAGATTCAAGCTGTCTTGCAGAGGTCTTGCTGTGCCTCTGACAAGCCCAAAATAGCTCCAGAGCACCTCAGTTCACCTCGGGAGTAATCCAAATCCAAAGTGTATCCCTAATAAACAAATATTCACATGCACAAATTGTTTGTGAATACTCCGGGGTATACACTGTAAAAAGAATGAACTATACTTATAAGAAACCTTTTACTTCAACAGATGACAGGAAGCCTCTATCCATAAGTTGTTTTAAACTGTTCTTAATAACGTTTTCACCTGCCCTGGGACCTTAGGGTGAAGGGCAGGAAATAAATAAATAAATGAATGAATGAATGAATGAATGACTGATAGGGTTGGGTTAATATTCCAAAAATATATATACAGTATGTTGAAGTGTTTAATGGATTTCTGAGTTTGGGTGTGGGAGAAGAACTATTTTTTCCCTAGAGGACACAACTCATATGGGATTTACTCCCACAAGATGCCGTGATGGCGACCAATTTGGACGGCTTTAAAAGAAAGATCATACAAATTAAAGCAACCATTGATGGAGACAGTATGCTTCTGAATACCAGTTTCAGGAAAATCCCATGAGGAGAGTGCTGTTGTACTCAGGTCCTGTTTGTGAGCTTCTATTAGACCGGCCGGCTGGCAAGGCACTGCCCATTTAGTGGGACCTCTGATTGGCCTATTTGAAGCTGGTATTTTGGTGGTGGATCCCCACTCCTTGATTCTGCTGGCGGGGTAGTTCTCTAATGACTGACAAGACATGTGGGCCCTAGCTGCCAGGGGGATGGCGAACAGAGGTCCTCAACCACTGCCCACCAGAGAAGAAGCAAACAACCACTGTGAGCTTCCAATAGGCATCTGAGAACAGAATGCTGGACAAGATGAGCTCTTGTCCTTATCTAGGAGAGCTCTTCTTGTGTTCTTATAAGAAGGCAGCTTTGCAGACTAGGTGAGAAGATATGAACTCCAAACCAGTTGTTCGGAAAGCGGGCTTGTTGTGCCGCCTCATGGACAAACTTAGTGAGCTGTGAAATAAGTTCATTAACAATGTGGAGCCTAGTGATGGCTGCATTTGTCATAACGCAACACAATAGAGAATGAATGTCTATAGTTCCTTTCATGCAGATGAATCCCAAACTCAGCTTACAATAAAACAAAACATAAAAATGCAAAAGTGCTCTCTATTGTTATAGACCGTAAGTTGATGCTAAAGAAAGAATTTAAGTTTGGATGTAAATGAGCTTCCTGCAGTGGCATTTCAAAACCAAAAAGGTGATAAATCTCAGGCTTGAAATAGCTTGTAGAACAGCATCACGTAGTTTCTAAGGCATCTAGTGCTGTGCTCAGGTTTTAACTTCAGTCAAAACATCAGAGTTCCCAAATTGTTCTCTGACTTATAACTCAAAGTGCTTTTAAGGCTAATTTGATACCTTTGTGGGAGCCTATACATCTCCTGAAACCTAGCATGACATGTTGAAGCTGTTTCGTAGAAGATTCTGGTAGCAGCATTTCGTGCAAGTTAAAGCCTAGGCAGCACTCTTTTCCCAGAGAAGCCATAAAACAAAAAGCAGAGCATACCTGTCTGACAAAAAGGAATGTTCCAGGACCATCCCATAAATCTATATCATCACCTTATTTCTAACTACTTTCCTAAGCTGTATGTTCTAACAATTCCAGGTACCCAATAGAAACCAATATTCAAGGATATGTACAGTGTATGCTAAAAAAAAAATTTAGTCTAAATTCTGGGCAAGAAAATCTGAGTTCTAAAATTGGTATAGATTATGCAAATCAAACCATTGTGCTTTTAATCTATTATTATTATTATTATTAGGCTTGTTAGTAATGGGAAAGAACAATGAAGTACACTGAAATATTGAGCAGAAATATTATTCATGCATACCCTCCCATGACTTCGCTTTTTAAATCTTCTTAACCATAAGGACTACAAAACTGATTCTTTAAATCAAAGTAAGATTCTCAGAATTTTGTGGCTAATACTACATTCCATACCCAATTAGAATTGAAGAATACTCATATTCCTACTAATTGTCTGAAGAGCTATAGCAAAGCTACTACCTAATGTTCATTTTATTCTCGTGATCACACCAGAAGTCATCACACTATCCTTGACTCCTCTTGATTCCAAAAGATTTGACTCAATTTTTTGTTCTAAATAGCCCACAATTAATAAATAACTATTTGAGATTTTAAGGAGAACAAAGAATTGCATTTTTGGAGAATGATAAAGGCCAGAAATAAATTATGCAAAATGAAATTATGCAAAATGAAAGTCTCCAGAAATTATGCAAAATGAAAGTCCTGCAACTGTAACAATTGCACAAGAAGTCTCCAGAAAACCAGAGTATTGACAAGTTCTCATCACATCTTTCAACTGTTTAATGAAAAAGAAACAAAAGAAACAACAATATTCAGCACAACTTATATGTTTATTCTGAAACAGAAATAAAACACCACCAACTAAAGTCAAATTGCATTAAACCAAAAGTCTAATTCACAATTCAACTAAACATTGTACCTGTTTTCAAACAAAGCTAATAAAATTAGGCACAGAAATGGAAATGAATTTAGCAAGGAAGAGGTTTCTGTGTTTTGTGCTTCTTCCTTTGTTTCTTTGTTTTGTAGATACTGAATTAAATGTAGAACATGGATTGCTATCCCATTCAAATTGTTTAAAAGCAAAAAGACTGATGTATGAGTTATGGTAGAGAAACTGAAGTGCTGCCACATTTGATAGGCTCCCAAGCAAGATGACTTCCATTCCTCCCTGCTGCTGTTCAGCTCTTCTTTATTTCCTTTTAAAAACAAATATCGATAGTAGTGCTCGTTTCCTTCTTTCCTGACTGGCTAGAGAAGCGTACAAGGCTGGACCACAGTATTGCACTGCAGAGTTCATCAGCTGACTCCATCCCCTAGGCCCTGGCCGCCTGCACTTTAATTTAAATAAATTCTACCTCAGGGCAAGTGTGGCACTCAGTGGCTCAGCCAATCAGACACCAATTTCGGAGAAGCAGTACCAGACAGGGTGCTTGAATAGCAAAGCGGCTGGCCAAGAGCTTAGTCTAGCCCAGTGGATCCCAAAGTGGGTGTTACTGCTCTCTGGGGCTGGTGAGATTAATTTAGGGGGCACTAAGAAGCAAGGGATGCGGGTGGCGCTGTGGGTAAAACCTCAGCGCCTAGGGCTTGCCGATTGCATGGTCGGTGGTTCGAATCCCCCGCGGCGGGGTGAGCTCCCGTCTTTCGGTCCCATCTCCTGCCCACTTAGCAGTTCGAAAGCACCCATAAGTGCAAGTAGATAAATAGGTACCACTTTCTAGCGGGAAGGTAAACGGCGTTTCCGTGTGCTGCGCTGGTGCCGGCTCGCCAGAGCAGCTTTGTCGCGCTGGCCACGTGACCCGGAAGTTTCTCCAGACAGCGCTGGCCCCCGGCCTCTTAAGTGAGATGAGCACACAACCCTAGAGTCGGATACGACTGGCCCGTACGGGCAGGGGTACCTTTACCTTTAAGAAGCAAGGAGGTGGCAGGGGGCAGGCTTTGAGAAGCTGGCATCAGTGGATCAAGTTCATCGATTTTGTTGAATCAATTAAACTATATAGTTTTAA